TAGCTTGACTAGTACCTCAACTAAATGCAAGTACTTTCTTCTTCACCCTAGCTAGGTTCTTCGCCGCCAAGCCGCGCTGCTTCTTCTTCACCCTTGCTTAGTACCTCGAAGCCTTTCCTTGCTATCTTCACCATCTCAAGCCATCAAGTCACATCTTGTGTTGAATCATCCATTCATATGTATTGTTATCTTTTTCATTTTAATTTAGCAAGCTTCAGATATGAGACCATTCCATATGCAATCCATCATGTCTCATTAACTAATAATCATGAGCTTGCTATCACATAGTACATGGAAATCCCACAATAAATAAGCCTTCACATGAATTCCATTTGCATTGTTGTCTTATGCTTGAACTAGATTGTTTATACAACAACACATCATTTTGGCTTTCATTAAGTATCTATGAGATAACCTATTACCTGTTCACACTTTAGCAAACGGGTTAGTCCTTTAATCATGTTGTCATTCAATCATCCAAAACCCACTAAAGGGCTAGATGCACTTTCAATTTCTGCTAAGGATAATTCCAAACAATGACTGATGCCTTGACTTTCCCAGTGGCTACTGCTTTTCTCCAGCATTCTCCTGTACCAATTCCGCCATCCAGCGATTGGGGGAAATGGCCAATTCTTGAACGTGTTTGGCCATCGGTTTGGCAAGGTGATCCCAGATTTGAAAGGATTCTTTGGGTTTCCTTCTCGATAATTTCAAAAGGGTGAGGATTTCCCATTGGGCCGAGGAAATAGGAATCGGGGTTGGCGGCATAAGGGATCGAGAATCGATTCTTGTATTCTGTAAAGGGTGATTGAAATCAAAGAGGAATAAGCAAAAGAAGAACGGGAAGATCAAGTGGAAATTGCCGAATATAAGTGAAGTTTACCTCACGGAATTTCATCACAGGTCGCCATTGAAGATTGAAATGGGTCCAAGGTTGTTGAAAGCTTGAATTTTTAGACGGTAATTTGCGGTGTTGAGCGGTGCTGACCTAGGAGGGAAAAGGAGCTTGTGGTCAATTTGAGAATAAAACAACTTTTATCCCGAAATTGAGGGGCATGTGTTAACACTTTGGATTTTGGTCGACTTCGGAAGATGTGGTGGACCCATATCATACGGGAAGAAGGACATTGGCAAACAAAAGCGAAGCGGTCGGCTAAATGCTTGTCTTTGTCGGTTACTTGTAAGGTGGTGACTCCATTCGGGAAAGCGAAGATGGCAAGCAAAGCCGATCGAAAAGATGAAAGTCGTAATAATAAAGGACTCGAGGGTTTAGGGCAAGGAATCGTAGTTTCCAAGTTTGTTTAAGAGTTCCTTTGTAAGTCGTAGTCTTTAGGACTCGTGTTTTGTCTAGGGTATAAATATTGACCCTCGACCATTGTAATAGGGGTTCACAACCAAATCAATACAACCGCCCCGTGCCAACTTTCGAGTCCTTTTTGTCGGTCGCCGAGTTCTTGAGAGGAGTCATCGATCCGTCGACCTCCGTAAGTTTCGACAACCTTGTTATCATGTTTAGTATCATGCGGTGGATTTAGGACGTGATGCAAGTAGTCTTGTTTGTTTTCAATGATCGTATGCGGCGGATCTTTGTTTGACAAGCAAGAAGTCTTTGCTTATGCTTTGTTTATGAGTAGATACCGTATGCAAAAGCGTTTGCTCAATATGCTTAGTGAAGGCAAGATGGTTATCGGCTCTATTAGATACGGCAAAATCTAAATAGATTCATTAAGTTATCTGTGTTGCATGTTTTAAATATTTTATATATTTGTAACACTTACGCTCAATCTAGATTGATATTGTTCGGCCCTCTCTTATGATTTTATTCGTGCTTCAATGATCATTACTTTCGTATTACCTTTGCAAATAGATAACATGCTCGTAATGGCTGAATTATTTTAATCTAGATTGTCACATGTCGTGGGTTCATGCATGTTAATTACGTTTAAGCTTTGACGAAACTAGGTGTCGTGCATGCGATGCGAGTTTTAGATTAGTTTAATCGTGTTTATTTGTACGTTTCTTCTTCATGGACCCCAACTCAATTTGGATTCTTTGAGCTTGGTTATGCATTAACTCATGATTAATTTCACTTGTTCAAACATGTCTTCCCATGCACATGCATTCGGCAATCGGATCTTTACGTATGCTCATCTTACGATTAGTGAATGGTTTATAAACTTTGTGGGCAGATAGCTTCCTATAGCTATATGTCGTTGTAAGTGGCTTCGTGGTCGATATATGGGCTATCTGGTCTCACCGACATGTTCTGGTTTGGCATTTAACTGTTTATCCCTTGTTAGTTTTTTCAGGTCGAACTGACTGGCACGTTTCCGGATCACGAAGCACCCGGGCACCCAATTGAAGCTACGCTTTCCGGCTTACTGTGTGTGGGGCACAGTGCGTCACATTTTGTGTCAACAGTTTGATTTAGTGCGTGTTAATATTCCTGCTTCAAGTTTCGAGGAATATTTTAATTAGATCATTTTTCTTCTGTGAAAATAATATTTGACATTCAAAATATGATTTCTCTCCCCCTAATGCAAATATTAGATTTTTATAGTATACTTCAAAAGATATCCCATATTATGGGCTTAAAATAATCAAATTCATGCATCTCCAACTACAAGCGGAGGCCAATTCATGTATGCTATGATGAAATTTTATGGAAAATATCCACGCACATATTTAAATATGGGGGTTATTATGCAACGAGCTAGAATATAAAGTGCACTTAAGAATGTTCAGCATTCCTATAAACTCAGGGATGTTCTCCTCCTGATTTGCACATATCATGGTTTAGAAAACCATTTCATTGTCTAGCTTCTTTATTGTTTAGCAAAAAAATGATCCAATTACACATATATAAAAAATAGACCATATACTTCAAATGTATATAATACGTAACATTCAAAATCACATGGAATTTCTTCTAGAAATTTATAATTGCCATTAATAGAAAATTTCCTAAATGTCTTTTCTTAAAAAATCCCAAATCATCTAAGTGTGTAATCCACCATCTTAATTCCATAATTATTCATCCCATCAATTGGGTCACTTCTCCATTTAGCTAATTTCAGATTAACCGACTCCCGTGTTCTTTCCTTTTTTATTTTATTAACCCAAAATTCAGCTCTTCTAGATGCAATCACGCAGCATGCACGTAGTTGCCTATGTACTTTCTGTAGAAATTCTTATGCACAAGTCATGTATAGTAATTGCGACAAAAAAACATAATTGCCCAACTCGATGGTAAGACAAACGCAATTTGATCTGCAAGATCCATATTGGTGGCATGTATCTGCGAGATGAGATTATTTTATATCTTGCAGGATGTCAATTTGATCTACCTCACATGCCGCGTAGAGCAATGATTAATAGATACATACCGCGTAGGGTGTTTAGCATTGTCGTAGAACTGTCTGCTTAACGACAGCGGTGTATATTGACGTAGTTCATATCGCTAGCAAGTAGAGGTAGCAGATCCGTTCCGCTAACAACGTCGGAGATGTCGACGTCGTCGAAGTAGTCGCCGCGAGATGTCGGCACAAGCGTCGGCGTCAAAGATCGGCGACAGTTTCAACGGCGATGTTGACGTAGAGCTTGTCGTGCTGATAACGTGTTATAAAATATGTTGCCAGCGGTTAGGACCTTTCCCTCTCTGTCTCTCATGATCAACATAGTAGATGAAAGTAGAACACATAGACACAAGAGATATGGAGACTATTATTTATTTCTCTCAATATTGGTAATTACAACATAGAGCTCTCATGTATATATAGTCCTGCCAAATTTTTAAAAATTTGATAAGAGCCCACGTATAAATGGATTATGATTAAAATTCTCCTTTTCTAGATAGAGTCCGTACGTTTTACGAGAGCCCTCGTGGCTTCTCTCTTGCTGAGTCGCTGTCCACTACTATGACGCGCAGTGGGCTGGACGGCAGAAGCAGTCATGGGCCCAAACTCTTTAAGCCACAACGCACGGCCCATACTTCCAGCCTTGATGGACCCGTTTCCGGTGAACGCACGGCCCATAGTCTGCGCCTCTGCGGTGTCTGCATTCTGCAACGCTGGTGCTGGAGACCTACTCTGCTACTGAAGATCAGATAATCATGCTACCACTATCAGCCATGTATCCATATACTCTACTTGAGATTTCGAGTAGATGCAATCTGAAGCCGCTCTTCTTCTTGTTTCCTGATAAAGGAAACTTTATCGACCTTAGAAAATTACACCAAGACGATACAATCATACTAAGATCACTCACGACCTTTGCATACCTAGGATGCACACAGCCAACAACATAACATTATTAGTTCCCTTCTGTTCAAGCTTGGTCTGTTGAATCAATGACATTATTAGTTCCCTTCTGTACTAGCTTGGTCCGTTGAATCAATGACGACCCATCAGAAAGTCATACGTCAGACTAAGATGGCAAAATGGAAAGCAAAACCTTCTTGAGTTGTCCGTGGATGACCCATACACCAAGTGAAATCAATCAGCCTGTTCGCTTGCTCGTAAACGATCGTAACTTTTCAGCCGGAAACAGTGTTTTTCTCTCACACCAAACCAGCCAGCAGTAAATAATCCACGATACGATACGGCCTCCCGAACAGGCTGAATGTTCATACCTAAATGAATAAATCGGCAGGATTGGAAACAATAATAAAATCTGCAGGATTGGCAACAATAATATAACAGTGCGTAGACTTAAAACCATAGGTCCATTTTTGTGTCATCAGTTAAAATAATATTGACCGAGCAAACATTAAAATAAAGATGCCACGATCCACATCAATATCATTTTACAGCAACAACATGTGCTTGTTAATTTCTGGGAACAAGCAAACAAACATATATGTTGGGAGACAAAATGAATAAACATATATGTTGGGAGACAAAATGAATACAGTATGATAACATTGATACAAGATCCCTCAAAATCTTTTCGTACGAGTCGTGCAAGCTTTACTTCTAGTGCTCTCAAAACTGTATTCACATTCAATCAAGTTGCTTTGTCCAATCGAAGGGCTCCCATTCCTTCATGAAGCTAGCAACAGCCTGCCTCTTGTTATCCATGGACTCGTGCCTTCGCCGACGGTGCATGTCCTCCGCTGGCAACTGCAGCATCCCTCTGATGACATTCAATCCAAACCCAGCGCTGAACTTGCTCTCGTCATCTATTACATGCACAAAACCACGGTCCAACCCAAACTCCACGTGGAAGTAGGCAAAGTTCTCTGGGATGACCTGCCTCAAGTTGCGGCTTGCACTTGTTGGGATAACCTTCTTCATCTCATGTTGGGTCCATTCTTCTTCAGCTTCATCAATAGCCTGGAGTAAATGAAAATAATCTCATTACAAGTTTACAACCAAAAGCATAGTAGAATATTCTCAGTTATGAAGGTGGAGGAACACTGGAACTAGACGACTGACCTTTTTAAAGTACATTGGGGCATTGCTTGAAACTTCACAAGGGACAGGGATGCACTCAATCATGCAGTGTCTCCGTTGTCTGGCCAGGCTTATGACAGTCTCCATAAACACCACATCCTTGTCCTTCCGTGCAAACATCTTCAACAGGCACTTCTTGAAGTTGCGAATCTCCCCCCAAACGTTCTGATCAACAGTTCTTGCTGCAGATTCATGCTGCAACCAGTATCAAAATCATCAATAATGAAAAAAAACTGATTGTCTGTTCGTAAATTAAAAGACAGAATGTTCCAGAAAATAGCGTATTCAAAAGCACAAACAAGTAGCAGCTGGTTGGTTCTTAAAGAAAGCTTAATTTCGTCCAAATGCAATAGGACCAGCAAAACCGTCTCACCTGTAATGGGAGAATAATGCAATGCCCAGGGACAACAGGCTCAAACTGCGGCAGCATCAAGTAAGTGAAGTTTCCAATAGCAACAACCAGATGTTTTGGCCTGGATGGGTTCTCAAAGCAACTCCTTCTGAGTCAACATATGTGTACTAGTGCTTCTCGTTGCGTCATGTGCCTGTTTGTTCTTTCTTTGTCCTTTTTAGTGGGAGCATCAACAAAATCATATTCACCCTCTATACTTTTAGAAATGTTATACCGCTTGTTGTGCATAATTTTATTAGCCAAGTGCAGGTCAGCATCCTCTTCTCTTTTCCTGCGATCATCTGCACTAGGCACATGAGTATGCCTGCAGATGAGAAGAAAAAGAAGTCTTGAGCAGGCAGATAAAATAAGGCTACAAGTATTGATATATAACAATGAAGTCAGAACTTCTTTTCCATACTACTCAGGATATCATTTAGTTTTAGAATACTTCCCCACAAAATGACAAGTGCATACTTTGTTTTGAGAGATCATTTCTTTACCATGGAACAAATGGTTGGACATAGTTACCTGATACTGATTGTGCTTTTTTCTTTTCCATGGCCAGGCTTCTCATGGGCAGTATCCTGATTCTCCAGCAAAGTTTCCATTTCTCTCTGACAAAGAACGACGAGCAGTTTAGACATATTGCCAAACAAATAGAAAAAAAATAGATTAACCTCTCCCTATTTCTATAGATAATAAAACATTTTTCCCAGTTTCCTAAATCATGGGATGTGGGTAAATATACACTTAGTCCAAATATATGTAGGAAAATATAGTTCCAGTAGGACCAATGTAATCCATATTTCCAACCTTAGTAACATGCAATTTTTCAGAATATATGTAAGTTTAGGACAAAGTGATGTTGGAAACACAATAAATAACACATCTCTACTGTAAAATCTGATGAATATATGTTACTCTGCATATTCCTATTATCGCATTACAAAATAAATTGCCATATAACAAATTAACGATTCACAAATTCATAAAGTGTCAGCATTGCCACAAGAACGATATTGGAAGACTCACCGAACGGAAAGTTGTTCAGCTTCTCGATACTTGCCTTTCATTCGGAGCTGCAGAATGTTTGCAGCCATCTGGTTTGCATTTAATGTCTGAGTGCTCACTAATTGTACTTTGCTTGAACTCTCCTTAAGGGATCTCTGCCTATTGTCCCTCTGCTCATCAGTGATAACACTAGAACTAACAGCTGAAGCATTTGTGTTGTTGCTCTCAAGATTGCTAATCTTTTCCATAAAGCTTCCATCATCAGAAAACTTATTTAAGCTGGCTACCGCTGAAGAGATAAGTGCCTGCTCCTCGGAAGATATATTCTGTCTAGTCTTTTTCCATGGGACAGAATCAGGTTTGGGTGTTCTCATGGCATTACGCTGAGAAGAAACATCCCGTCTGCCACTGTTACCATCTTGGTGACCCTCTGGATTTCCTTTGGCATTTTCTTCTGAGCAGTCAGCATTCCCATGTTTCCTGCCTCTAATGGCATGCAAATGAGCATGTGAATGGGCAGCTCTTGATGATGATACTGAAACCGCTAATTCGCCTAACGAACCCCATCTCTCTTCAACAACCTATAACAGTCGAATAGTCATCACAAAAGCGAATGAGAAATAAAGAACGAACGAATCAGTTGCTAAGAATTAATGACATGTAGCTGTGCGCTTACATCCTCGAGTTTTGTTCCTTCACGAGCAGCTTGCTCCTTGCCTCCTTGGCACGCTTCAAAGCTTTAAGCCTCCAGCTAACACCTCCATCGCCCACAACAGAGGATGCAAGCAACTGACTGCCTGCATATGGTGGCTTCTGGATATCCAGTTCCATTATGTTCAGGGTATGGGTTAAGCTGCTTTAGGCTCGTTCTCTGTCTCACAATCTATCAGTAATCAAGCAAAAGGCGGATTACTACAGCTTGTTCACAAAAGCAGTCATATATATACAGAGCAGTAACATGTAACCTCTTCATGCAGGGGCGGACTCACTAATATTTGGCCAAAAAAGAAAGAACTCGAAGATTGCACTTGTAATCAGATCAGATCAGATCAAATAGGAACGGAAGAGAATGGGGGTGGGCGTACCTGGTGGGTGATCGCTGCCTGCAAGGGTCACCTAGGCACCTGGCAAGGGTCACCACACGCAACGGAAGAATAAAAAGGCAGGGCCGCAGTGTAAAAGCTTCCGGTTCCGTGTCGGGGTCAAGTTAACTATCAGACGAGACGAAAGAGGAGACCTGCCCTCTCACTTCTCAGTTTCAAAAAAAAAAAATCTCACTTCTCAGTTTCAAAAAAAAAAAAAAACTCACTTCTCAATCAAGAAGTAAAATAATCCTAAATTTGATCAGATATCTATAAAGATTACAATATTTGTAATACATAATAATTGTTAAGTATTATTAGATTGATTATAGAATATACTTTTTTATACTAACATATATTTAAAGATATAAATTTTGATACTATTTTTGTAAGCTAATTAAATTCAAAATTGTTTGACTCCTCATAAAGAAGACTTTCATTCTTTTTAAGACGAAAGGAGTAGCTATAAGAAACTAGTTACTCCCTCTATTCTAAATTATAAGTCATTTTAAGTTTCTAGGTACATAGTTTTTGCTACGCACCTACATATACATTATGTCTAGACATAAAGTAAAACGTACATATCTAAAGAATAGGTAAAATAATTTATAATTTGGAATAGGTGAGTGCTTAAATGATGTGACGTTATCATGAATCACCTCAACACAAAAGGAAAAAATATCAATTCAAAATAAAGGTGGTCTTTTTGTTACAACTATCATACATATGCTATATTCGTTTAAATAACGACATATAGAAGGTACATATTCCATCCTCGAAAGTATTTTTATCATTTGATGTGGAGCACATCAATTTGTTCAATATAATGATTCCGTGTTTTTTAGCACAACTGAGTATTTATGATCTAGTTGGTAATTACTTTCTTGTTGTTTAAGCTTGCAGACAAATTAAATTGAATATGCTTGCCCCAATAACACCCAACTGAACCAACAAAATGGATGTTATCGTTATGGTTTCTCAAGTATAGTTTTGGAACATGACGTTGATCACTTTATACGGATCTTCTTAATTTGGAGACCATTTGCCAAATCGGTTACTCTTCATCCTATTTTTATAGATATAGATGAGGAAAGCCAAACTTCGAGAATAGTCTAGAGGGGTAAAAAGGAATTTTTTAATGATTTAATCACCCCCAAGTCTCCTTAGGCTAGGCTCAAGCAAATCCGTTTTTTCCATTCCTTAGTCCAGTTACACCAAAAAAAATACTTTCTAATTTGTCTGTTGTGAAGTATTTTTGATGCTGGTGAATCACCGTGATATGCTTTCATGAAATATTTAATGTCAGTCAGTCAATCAATCTAATCTGTCTGGTCAAATATTTAGGCACCGTTTCGAGATTTTTTTTATCCTGTGTTTTCTTTGTGAAAATAGACTGATTCCTATAAAATTTCTATATGATTTCTGTAAAGTTACTACATTCCAAGAGGCCTTTAACGAGGAAGAATCACATAAAAACATATAGGAGCCAAACAAAATAGTGGAAAATCTTCAGCAAAAAAAAAATGCCACCTATATGCCCATCTTATAAAAGTGGAGTCATGGACGAAAACATTGGATTCTTCCATTTTGAATTGTAAATCGTTCTGACTTTTCAACATATATAGCTTTTACTATACAGGGTGCATTTTTTTTACTCCTAGGAGCGGTTACTCCCACCTTCAATAAACAATATTGCGTATGTGTGCATACTCATTTATCAATTTGAGTTTGTTTATATACTCATTTATGATACTCCAAATCATACTATGTGATTTTTTTTTCAAAAGAACCCATATTTTTTAATATATTATTATAATACTACGACAGTAGTATATAAAATAAGTATAACCATATACTCAATATATACTTACATACTTGACATACATACTATCATAGATGGTCTAGTATGATCATATACTTCGTCGACATACACTTTGTCGGGTTATATACACACTAAATCTAAAAAATATACATATGGGGCTCCCTGAGAGTAGGAAATAATTTCCCTTACTATATAACTAAATATAATATATAGATACATATCAAAAGCTTCTCACTTATCTCTAACTTGTGTGTTCTATTTGTATGCTCGTGCATTCACTGAGTGAGTGATAGATGGATTTTTCAGCATTGTCATCCTCAAAGAGCAGAGAAGATGGACACCGGTGACACCAGAAGGCTAATGTTTTGTGTACATACACTACACCATGGCATATATTTGCTTATAGTTATCTGTTGACAAAATATGGGTTTTATCTACACATTACGTGTTGGCAATTGTATGATTTTTTATATCATATTATCTGTTGGTGAAAAGGCTATAAGACCATGAGTTGTCTGTCGGCATGCAGAAAAATTGTACCTGTTCGGCTGGTATTAAAGTTGGCTGATAAGAAGGCTGAAATTGTTTTATTGTGAGAGAAAAATACCGTAGATTATAGCTGATAAATCGGCTGACAGGCCCATTGTCGGCGTAGCTTGGTAGTTGGTACCACCGTGGAAGTGTTTGCAGAGTACCATGCGTGTTTTCCTGCAGCTTGTGAACAACCGCCCAGTTTCATGCAGCCTGTTCGTTTGGTTGAACTTGTTCATTGCTGGATCGTGGAGAAGTACTGCTGATGAGTTGGGTGTGGGAGAAAAATACTGATTTGTAAGAAAATTTACGATTGTTTACGATGAAATAATCCCAGCCCAGATTGGTCCCTCAAACCGAAAAAAAAAAAAAAAAAACACACGCCCGCTGCCCCGAGCTCCCGCCGCCCCCGACGCCGCTCCCCACGCCGTCCGCCGCCCCCACCGGCCGCCACTAGTGCTGCTGGCCAGGGCCACACCCCGAGCGAAGCTCGCCTGTGCGGCTGCCTGCACCAGATCTGGCGGCACCAGATCTGCAGAGAGCCGCCACCGGGCGCCACCACTGAGAGTCCGCTGCGGGCCACCATAGGGCGCCGCCGCCGGGCGCCACAGATGCCCCCGCCCGGCGCCGGGCACCCCCGACGAGCGCCGCCGCCGGGCGCCACCGACGCCCCAGCCCGCCGCCGGCGAGCGAGAGTGCTGCCGCCGCTGCAGTGGATCTCCCGCGCGGTGTCCTCCAACGACGGCTGTGTATTCAGGTGCGTCACATCCCCCATCGCATCCTCCGCATCATTCCTTTCCCCTCATCCCCATTCCGTTTCTTGCTAGGGTTTGGGCGCAACTTACTTCTGCTGAGATGGTGATGACTGAGTGACCGCCGCCGCTGCTGCCGCCACTCTACGCCTTCGTCGTGTCCTTCGCCAGGCCTTGTTCAGGCCCTTCACAATCGACGAGCACACACCAGTTATGCCCACCGCTTCTCTTCCCTTTGCTATTGTGTGAAACCGACCACCCAAACTCTAAATCAAGCTATATATATTTGGATCCGATCTAATACTAGTCTATACATGTCGACTTTTTTTTTTGCAAAAATTATCGGGTGTACATGTGTACACCCATATCCTTTAGTGTGTCCGGCCGCCCTTGATTGCACAGATGGATCTGTAATCCTTTGCTAGGCAAGTATGGAATTTTTGCTCGATGTAGGGGTTTTTGCTATTAGGTTTTAGCTCTGTCTAATTTCCAGAACCACTTATGCAACCTAGGCCCTGTTTGATTCCACTAGATTGCACATGAATTCGAGGTTTTAGATATCTAATCAATTGAAATGAAATGAGATACTTTTGTTCTTTGCTTTCCTCGATCTGAAATATAGAAAAAAATATTAGAACCTTTGTTGCCTGTTGTTATTGGCATCCTAGGCTGCTATATGCTGTCATGCTCAGCATTGTTTCTATTGGAATTAGATCCACACCCCCCCTTCATGTTTTAACTTGGATGGTCTTGTTCAAGGTTTTGGGGGCTTACCCAACCTTTGTTGTCCAATGGAAGCCGATCGATTGTTGAGTTTGCAAAAGGGTAAGCTACAAGAGCCCTCTGTACTATGTAATTTATTCCATTATCCTTTTCCTGCCTTATGTTTTTCCTTTTCTTGTACCACACTACCACTGCTACATGTTAAGCATGGCTCATCTTTTCCTTTCCCAAATTCTTGAAGCTCCTAAGGAAGAAGAGGTTTCCCTTCTTCTAGAAATTTTCAGGTGATCTTATTGTCCAAAAGATGTGCCAATTGTGTCGCTATGTTTTTCAACAATCAAAGAATTTTTCATCTTAGTTTACAGTTCAAGTGGAATGTCTAAGTACACTACGAAATTACTCTGAGCTTGAATACTAAAACTCTCTCATGCAGTTTCCATATTGTAAAGATATAATTAAATGCACTTGGTCTGGATAAACACAGGGAAAATACCCATCGAAACTATATTGTTGACTGGCCTAGAAGCAATAATATTTGCACGGTTGCACCTGACTTTAGGATATAGCAATGACTCTAGAAACTTACTACTGCTTTGATGTGAAGAATTGTACTTCGCCTTTAATGTTAAGAATTTATTTTATGGTTTTCTATTGCAAGTATAACACTGTCTGCTTCCTATTTCCTTATGTGGCTATATTTTTGTTATGCAATATTTTTCCTTTCGATGTTTCATACTCTTACTGAATGTGCAATTAAGATTTTACTTTGGGCTCTTATGAAGGCCCGTTGATTATATATGTTAGCTTCCCTGAGAGAACAATCTTTAGCCCATCATTTTTTTAATCATTGGTTTGATTGTGGCTGTTTGACATGATTCTGTCTACTGTTCCTTGAACTTGAGTCTCAATATTTGTTTCCTT